ACAGCAAAAAGCTGGGGTTCTATGATTGCATATGAGAATCTACTTTACTGAATTTGACTTTGCCAAGGGTACGTTTATGGGATGTTACTATATTGGAGCTGTTAATTAGTACTAGTTTATATATATTAAGTTGTTAAGCACTTCAACAGAATGACAGTTAAGCCAGTCCTTTTCTTTTATTGTGCCTATTTTAACTGTAGTATGAATAACATATGTTTTGCTTCAAGCTGATAGTTTGTCCAATCAAATTGCATCCAGAACACAGTGTCTGGCATTTGCCTCTAAAACAAGAAAAAGTTAGGGTTGTCTTCTTGACATGTTTTGAGGGGGTTTGGTCTTGTCCATAACAGTATCTACCCTGTCTTTTCCAGTTAAATCTTGAAGACATAAATCAGATCACCCCTTAACCTTCTAAATTGTCATCTCTCGTCGTACCTTAACTCCTAAAGTCTAGGTATCATTTCTATTCTTGTGGTGCCCAAACCTGTTCACAGTTATCCAAGTGTCCAGGGTTTTGTATAACTGCAACATAACTTCTGCATTCTTGTATTCCAGATATAGTCATAGAACATAGAACAGTACAGCACAGTACAGGTCCTTCGGCCCACGATGTTGTGCCGAACTTTTACCCGAATCCTAAGGTCTATCTAACCTCCACCCTTACTTTTTACCATCATCTATATGCCTATCTAATAGCTGCTTAAATGTCACTAATGAGGCCGACTCCACTACCCTCTCCAGCAATGCATTCTACGCCCCTATCACTCTCTGAGTAAAGAACCTACCTCTGATGTCTCCCTGATATCTCTGATGTCTCCACTCACTTTAAAACTATGCCCCCTCGTAAAAGCTACCTCCACCCTAGGAAAAAACCTCTGGCTGTCCACTATATCTATACCTCTGATCATCTTGTACACCTCTATCAAGTCACCTCTCATCCTTCGTTGTTCTAAAAAGAAAAGCCCTAGCTCTCTCAACCTTTCCTCATAAGACCTTCCCTCCATTCCAGGCAACATCCTGGTAAATCTCCTCTGTACTTTTTCCAACGCCTCCACATCTTTCCTGTAATGAGGCGACCAGAACTAGACACAATACTCCAGATGTGGTCGAACCAGGCTTTTGTATAGCTGGAGCATAACTTCACAGCTCTTGAACTCAATCCCTCTATTAATGAAAGCTAACACACCATATGCCTTCTTAACAACTCTATCCACCTGGGTGGCAGCTTTTAGGGAACTGTGAACATGAACCCCAAGATCCTTCTGCTCCTCCACACTGCCAACAATCTTTCCATTAACCCTGTATTCTGCTTTCAAGTTTGTCCTTCCAAAATGAATCATCTCACACTTCACACTTTTCAGGGTTAAACTCCATCTGCCACTTCTCAGCCCAGCTCTGCGTTCTATCAATGTCCCTTTGTAACCTAGAACAGCCCTCCGCACTGTCCACAACGCGACCCACCTTCGTATCGTCTGCGAACTTGCTAATCTATCCTTCCACTCTTTCATCCAAATCATTTACAAAGATCACAAATAGAAGACGACCCAGAACAGATCCTTGTGGTACACGACTCGTAACTGAGCACCATGTTGAATATTTTCTGTCCACTACCACCCTTTGTCTTCTAAGGGTCAGCCAATTCTGAATCCAGTCTGCCACATTTCCCCCTATCCCATGCCTCCTTACCTTCTACATGAGCCTACCATGGGGAACCTTATCAAACGCCTTACTTAAATCCCGGTATACCACATCCACTGCTCTACCTTCATCCACGTGTTTGGTCACCTCTTCAAAGAATTCAATAAGGTTTGTGAGGCATGGTCTACCCCTCACAAATCCATACTGACTATCACGAATCAAACTGTGCCTTTCCAAGTGATCATAAATCCTATCTCTTGGAGCACTTTCCAATAATTTGCCCACCACTGAAGTAAGACTAACTGGCCTATAATTTCCAGGGTTATCCCTATTCCCTTTTTGAACAAGGGAATGACGTTTGCCTCTCTCCAATCTTCCGGCACTATACCCATGGACAGTGAGGACGAAAAGATCATCGCCAAAGGCCCTCCGATCTCTTCCCTCACTTCCCATAGAATTCTTGGATAAATCCCATCAGGCCTGGGGGACTTATCTATCTTCAGCTTCCTCAAAATTCCTAGCGCATCTTCCTTACAGGAAGATACACGAAGGGCAACATTCCATTTGCTTTTCTGAATATTTTCTGCACCTGTTTGTTGCATTTTAAAGATCAATGTACCTGAACCCCTAATTCTCTTGGGACATGCACTATCTTTCTTTGGTCAAAATGGATAACCTCACGCTTGCTGACACTGAACTGCATCTGCCATAGTTTTGCCCATTCTCTTTGCCTATCAATATCCTTTTTTAATTTTATGCTATCAGCTACATTGTCTACTATGCTGCCTAACTTTCTGTCATCAGCAAATTCAGATATACAACTTTCTATATCATTATCCAAGTTGTTAATTAAGGAAGTGAATAACTGAGGCCCTAACATAGAGCCTTGGGGGACACCACTGGTCACATCCTACAATATCAGCAACCACCCCCATTTTCTGGTCCCTGCCACTCAACCAATTTCCCATTTAAATACTATTCTTCCTGCCAAAATGCATAATCTCACATTATCCCACAGCATAATGCATCTGCCAAATTTTTGCACACTTGCTTAATCTGTCTAGATTTGTCCATAAAGTCCATGTCATCCCACTACTTGTCTTCTTACCTACTTTTTCATGTCATTTGCAAACTTGGCTGTAATACATTCACTTCTCTCACTCAAGTCATTAATATATACTGCAAATAAAACTGCCCTAGCACTGATACCTATGGCAGTCCCAACTCTCTGCCTTCTATTAGTTAGTCAATCCTCTTTCCATACTAAAATACTACCCCAACCTTATCTTATTGAGTAGCCTTATGTGTAGTACCTTTTGGAAATCCAAATAAACTAAGTCTGCTGCTTCCTCTTTATCTACTCTGCTTGTTAGCAGCTCAAAGGACTGTATTACATTTGTACAGCATGATTCCATTTCAAGGCATCATCACTCCACTATCCATACGGTCTAACATGGTGTATACTACTGAATCAATAATCATTAACTGTCAAGCAATAAAGCAAGATTTTCACATTGTATTGCTGTATTTTCCTACAACAGCAACTGAGAAAAACAGCCATCCCCCCCTACCCCCATACACACACACACACACAGAGCGCCAGGGACTCAGGTTCAATTCCACCCTTGGGCGACTGTCTGTGTGGAGTTTGCACATTCTCCCCATGTCTGCGTGGGTTTCCTCCCAGTGCTCCGGTTTCCTCCCACAGTCCAAAGATGTGCAGGCTAGGTGGATTGGCCATGCTAAAATTGCCCACAGTGTTCGGGGATGTGTAGATTAGGTGGGTTTATACAGGAATGGGTCTGGGTGGGATGTTCTGTGGGTCGGTGTGGACTTGTTGGGCCGAATGGCCTGTTTCCACAGTGTAGGGATTCTATATCTATATATCTTAGCCTACAAGGCAAGTGTGAACAAACAGCTCCAGAAACAAATTGTCGGACCATTTAAAAGACACAAGACATGTTTCTTCAAAGACAGAGGAGAAAGAAAGGAACAGAGACCAACTCAGATCAATGCACAAAACACCTACCCTGCGTTAACAAACTGAAGAAGAAGATTCAGTGATGATTGTATAGTGATAGTGAGTGACAGCAACCAGCAAGATGACAACCAAATTGCCAATACAAGTGCAACAGAGAACAATGTGTACCTTTCCTAATGGGTATAGCATCACCAGGTCAAGATCAGTTATCAGATCTTGAAAGCGTTATTTTTAAGTTTGATCTATTCGTTGTAAACACTGTTTGAATAACAATCAAATTGACACGTGCTTATGCACAAACATTATCTATTTGGGACGTTTTTAATTTTTGAAAACAAGGGATTATTGTATGATGTCTCGTGAACAGTATGTCAGTATAACTTTAAGAAACATGTGGATGAGATGCTAACTGTACCAGGGCACGTGACCTAAGGACGTTAAGATCTCATACCTCATCTCATTTCTGATCACTACAAGCATAACGCTTAGTAATAAAGTGCTCCTCTGTTGTAATCAGATAGTTATTAGTTCAGTATACAATGTTTTTGTATGATGTTTACTTGTAATACATGTCTGCTGGATTCTTTAATATCACGATATCCAAGCGCAGTTCATGAATAAGCATTGTCATATCAGATAATACTTCCTGCTGGAGGCAACCTCACTTCATCGTTATCACCTAATTTTTAGGTTTCTCATTTGATCACAGAGAATAGGAAGCTCATCCACTTTCATATCACAATTATGAAGTAATGGCTAAGCTATCAAGAAATATTATCAGAGACTGCCAATTGTGCATCAACCAAAACTACACTGCTTGTTACATGACTCTCTTCAGACAAGATGAGTGTGGCCGTACTCACTAAGAGAACTGCAGAGTTCCAATATCATACCCAATTAATTCATACAGACTAGAACTGAATGTTATTGGTCTAAATTAACATTGTGTCTAAAGGTGAGGGGCACTCACAAGACAATGATGGTGCAATGAGCATATATTTAAAAAAGTTTACTGACATTATGCTGGGTTCTAGAGTTATAAACTTTATATTTAGATGTCTCACTTTGTAAATAAATCTAAAATTCAGTACAGATTGACTTCTGGTCTCTTCCTACGTCAACTGGCAATAAATGCTTCAGCAGTAAACTGTACAACACTTTCAGCCATCAAATGAACAATATACTGACTGACCTATTTCACGGTTCCTGCATTTTGTACTTGTAAGCTAAATAAGATTACAAAGATAGTTCTGACATCTGTTTAGCTGCATTACTTAAGTTGTGTGCTTCAACGTCTTGCTGCTTAAAACATTTTTTTTTAAATCATGAATTTCAACACATTCTGACTGGTGACCAACACAGTCTAAACTCTGTTTCTTACCTGCAGAAATGACTGCATCGGGAAAAATACCTTTCAAAAGGATTTTAATCTTCAAGAAGAGTCCAGCTGGATGGGGATTCTCCTGTAAAATTAAACAATTAGACCTGTTTACCACAAAACACTGAGACTTTATTTTAAATGGTGTTCAGACAAAAATGTAGGAACTGAGAAACTAGGAGTAGGCCATTTGGCCCTTCGAGCCCACTCTGCCATTCAATATGATCATTGCTTATTTCCAACTCAGGTCTCTTTCCTGCTTTCTTCCCATATGCTTTGATCCCTTTGGAGCTCAGAACTATAACTCCTTCTTGAAAACATTTAATGTTTTGGTCTCAATTGCATTCAGAGAATTGGCTGAGAATTCCACAGGATCATTGCTCTCTGGGTGAAGAACTTTCCACTCTTTTCAGTCCTAAATGGTCTACCCACATCCCTGAGCTGTGTCCTTGGTTCTGTATTCACCAGTCATTGGAAACATATTTCAAGTATATACCCTTTCAAATCCTATTAAAAATGTAAAGGTTTCTGAGATTGCACCCCTCATTCTTCTACAATCCAGGGAATATAGTCCTAACTGATCTAGTCCCTCCTCGTATGTCAGTTCCGCTATCTTAGGAATCTCAGTCTGGTAAACCTTCATTGCTTTCCTTCATAACCAAAACAGCCTTTCTGAGTTAGAAAGGCCAAAACTGCACATAATACTCCAGGTATGGTCTCATCAAGATTCTGTACAACTGCAGCAAGACATCCATGCTCCTGTACACAATCCTCTTGCTATAAATGGCAATACAACATTTATTTCTTCACTGTCTGTTGAACCTAAATGCTTCTTTCAGCAACTGGTGTGCAACGGCACCCAGGTTTTGTTGCATGTCCTGCCTTCCCAATCTATTGCAAATCAGATTATAATCTGCCTTGCTGCTTTTGCTACCAAAGTGAAATAAGATCACATTATACTAGTTAGATCCTTGAAAAGTTCAAGTAGATTTCTCAAGTATAATTTCCCTTTTGTAAATCCATGCTGACTCTGCCAGATCCTACTACTAATGTTTGCCAAGTGCTCTGGTATTAAATCTTTCATAATGGATTTTAATATCTTCCCCACTACTAACATCAGGCTAACCAATCTATAATTTCCAGTTTTCTTCTCCCTTTTAAACATAGTGAGATTACATTACCTACATGATCCATAGGATCTGATACAGAATCTTGAAAGATGACCACCAATAAAGGGCAATTACCTTAAATATTCTGGGATGGTTGACTCTTAACTGCCCTGTAGGCAATTAGGGATGGGCAATAAATGCTGCCTAGCCAGCGATGCCGTCATTTCATGAGTAAATAAAGAAAGATTATCCGGCCTTCAGTTCCTCCCTCTCAGTGTGTTTCCTAACATTTTTGAAACACTATTTGTGTTCTCTATAATTGAACATTTGTTCCAAAATGCATAGAATGAGACAAATAGGGATATAACTATGGGACTTTATAGAGATATTCAAGGATGAAATTTTTTTCCCAACATTGCTAAAAACAATAAAGACATTGAGAAGGAAAAACAGAGACAGCAAGCTTAGGTTACAATAACGTTTTCACTTAATGTGACAGAGTTTGCATATTTAAAGGACTGCATGAAATGTCTTACTTGATTTGCAAGAATGACAGCATTGAGAGCTCTCTCCTGGTGTTGCTTGATGTCCCATTCAAGATAAACATTGGCTAATAAACGCAAAACCTTTGCCTAAAACAGAACAACAATCAATTGTAAAAACTTTCTATTTTATACCTCCACCAGTATCAGCTGTAAATCTTCTAGCTCTTTCTATCTCTGCACCATCATCTTTTGCAGGCCACTAATCATGGTATAACAACACAACAAATACACGAGGACATTAAGAAAGATTTGGCACAGATAAACTCTAACATGTCACGTGAAAATTATTCCAGTACAGAAAGTAAAGTAAAAGTTTTGTTATTCAGCATGCTCCAGGAACAGATGGTACTGGTTAATCATAATGCTAGTTAATGAGAACCAACAATACTCTGGAAACAAGGAAAGGTGTTGTTCTGTTTTTGAAGACTAAGGGGAAGCAACTGGGCAGTCAAGGGCCGTAGCACAGCAGCATACCACAGTAAAACCAGAACCAAACAAATCAACACCATAAATGAAGATCAAGACGAATATAAACTCTCAAAGACTTGGACAATTAGCTCTGAGAACTATACTTCCATGCTCACACAAACAGATCTGACAGTACAATGTAATGAGAAAATTAGAGCTGTCATCAGGGAATTATGAAATATCTGTCTTATTTGTGTAGTGCACCCATGGATGACAAATTTCTGTGAAATAATGGATTTTCAGACATTGGGGTTTCGGAAATTCAACCTTTGACTTGCTGTTTCTCACCTTGGATGAGCTTTCTTTTAAAGAAAGAAAAGAGTACAGTCACTCAATGTTAAATGCTGCTTCTGACCTCCGGACAGCTTAGTGGGTTGCAAATAACTTCTAAAAAGCAAAACTCAGTTTGAGTATTATAGAAATTTCAGTTAATAAAACATTTCTGTTGATATTGGTGTTCATAAGATCCAGGTGGCTTCATTCTTGCTAACACAAAGATTACTATGCAGGAATGGCCACATAAACTAAATACAATATCATTACTAGAATTGTTTATCAAGAAAGTTTTGTCAGCAGTGCAACATTTCAACAAATGTTTACTCTGGAGTACTAAAACGTCCATTAAACTTATAACACCATTCATAAACCAATGAATGTTCGAGACAATTCTGAAGAAGGGTCACTGGGTCCAAAAAGTTAACTGTACTTTCTCTCCACAGATGTTGAGAGACTTCCCGATAATTTTGGTTTTTGTTTCCGACTTCCAGCATCCACAGTCTTTTTTTGTTCCATGTTTCAAATATTGGCAGTTTAAGTTGCAGAAATTAGTAGGTTATTCACAACAGGTAAGTTACCTTCCAAAGGCTACTTAGGACTTTGGTGCTAACATTTCTGAAATAATTTGCTAATTCTACAATGCCAAAGAACTAGTTCTATTACCAGAAAAAAATAATGGATCAAATATTCATGACTCTGAGACTTCCTTAGGATCTTATGAACACCAATATCAACAGAAAAGTATAAGGGACATAGAAACATAGGAGCAGGCATAGCCCATTCAGCCCCGAGAGCCTGATCTGCCATTCTAGATCATCTACCTTAATGCCGTACTTCCAGAGACATCCTTTACCACTTGATGTCATGAGTAACTAGATCTATCACTCTCGGTCTTGAATTTCCTTAATGACTAAGCTTCCACAGCCCTCTGGAGCAAAGAATCTAATGATTTTCCACACTCTGAGTGAAGATACTCCTCAACTTAATCCTAACTGGTTTTCCTTTTAATGGGTGCATTCCCTGGTTCTAGACCCTACTTCATGGGAAGCATATTTTCTACATCTACTATATCTATTCCTTTATGAATTTAATAAGTTTCTATGAGACGGCCTCTCATTTTTGTAAATTCCAGAGAATACTGTGCCAATTGTCTCCTCAATTATTCCTCTTAGGACAGTCTTAACATCTCAGGAAACAGTCTGATAAACCTTTGCTGCATTTCCTCCATGACAAGTATATCCTTGTCTAGACAAAGATACCCAAACTGCGCATAATACTTCAGGTGCAGTCTCACCAATGGCTCTACAAAACTGAAGCATGACTTGTAATCAAATCCTCTTGCAATAAAGGCTAACATTCCAGTTAACTTCTGAATTACTTGCTACACCTGTATATTAGTTTTCAACAGGAACAAATCAGCCCTACTGCCTTCCAATCTCTCACCATTTAAGAGATACTCTGCGTAAAAGTGGATAAACTCACACTTGTCCACATTATATGCCATCTGTTATATTATTGTCCACTCAGTCAGCCTAAGGCCCTTTGAAGCCCCTTTGCATACTCCTCACAACCTGTACTCTCACCCACAGATAGTAAGAACTGCCGATGCTGGAGTCAGAGATAACACAGTGTGGAGCTGGAGGAACACAGCAGGCCAGGACTGCTATACCTCCTACAACCTAGACCACACCTCCTCTCACCCATCTTCCTTCAAGAATGCGATCCCCTACTCCCAATTCCTCCGCCTCTGCTCCCAAGAGGAGGCATTCCACTCCTGAGCGTCCCAGATGTCCTCGTATTTCAAGAACTGCAACTTCGCCCCCACAGTGGTCGAAAATGCTCTCAACCGGCCGCATCTCTTGCATTTCCTGCACCTCAGCCTTCACATCCCCTCCCCGCAACAAAAACAAAGACAGAATCCCCCCGTCCTCACGTATCACCCCATTAACCTCCAGATTCAACCCATCATTCTCCACCACTTCCGCCACCTGCAATCTGACCCCACAATGAAAGATATATTTGCCTCCCCACCCCTATCTGCCTTCCATAGGGACCGCTCTCTCCGCAACTCCCTCATCCGCTCCACACTCCTCACTAGCTCCACCAACCCCAGCACCTTTCCCTGCGACTGCAGGAAGTGCCACACACCTGCCCCTGCACCACCCCTCTCACCTCCATCCCAGGACCCAAAAAAAACCTTCCACATCAGACAAATGTTCACCTGCACATCCGCCAATGCGGTCTATTGCATTCGCTGCTCCTGGTGTGGCCTCCTCTACATCAGTGAGACCAAACAGAGGCTCGGAGACCGCTTTGTAGAACATCTGCACTCGGTTCGTGACAAACGACAACACCTTCCAATCACGAACCACTTCAACTCCCCCGCCCACTCCCTGGACAACATGTCCATCCTGAGCCTCCTCCAGTGTCACAACGACACCACCCGGAAAGAGGAGGAGCAGCACCTCATCATCAGCCTTGGAAGCCTACAACACAATAGTATCAATGTAGACTTTACTGGCTTCAAAATCTCCCCACCCCCGACCTCATCCCATGCCCAACCCTCCCTCTCATCCCCGCCTCCTTGACCTGTGCGTCTTCTCTCCCACCTATCTGCTCCTCCCACCTCACTGTCCAATCCCCACCACTGCTTACCTGCACTCACCTATCACCATCCCTCCTACCTTCCCCAGTGCCACCCCTCCTCTCTCTATTTATTTCAGAGCCCCCTTCTCCCTCCCCCATTTCTGAAGAAGGTTCCTGACCCAAAACGTCAGCTTTCCTGCTTCTCTGATGCTGCCTGGTCTGTTGTGTTCCTCCAGCTCCACACTGTGTTATCTCTGTACTCTCACCAACTTCACAAATAGGAAGATAAAGCAGACAAAAGTATGGCTGTAAAGATGGTGCAGGATTGAGGGCTTTAGACTCCTGGAAAACTGGGGCTGGCTCTGGGGAAGTTGGCACCTGTACAATGTTGCACCTGAACAGAGGTGGGATTGAGTTCCTCACAGAACATTTTGTTTGTGTTATTGGGAAGGCTATAAATTGACTTACCAGGGTTGTAGCAATGAAAGGAAGTAGATTTTCACTGAATACTTTAAGATACAACTGCCACTGGCATATAAAGCAGCAAGTAGGTGAAGTCAGATAAAGAAAATAAATTAAGTCTAAACCAAGGTTACTGTGCACGTATGTGAATTCTTGGTGTACAGTAACTAAGATTGGAAAGCTACAGGCACTTATTGCCATGCTGAATTTCAATATTATGTTGCTAACAGAAAGCTGAACAAGGGAAGGCCAAGACTGGATGTTAAATATTCTGGGGCACAAGACAATCTGAAAATATAGAAAAGGAAGGAAAGGAGGAGTGACAGCACTAAGGAATACACTGCAGTGCTGGAGAAAGAGGATATCTCAGAGGTTCTAAGCACGTAGTCAACTTTGCTAGAACTTAGGACCAAAAATGGCATAATTACATTGTTAGGTTCAGTCTATAAACTACTAACTGGTGGAAAGGATACAGAAGAACAAATCTGCACAGAATTATAGAATGATGCCAACATTACAAAGTAATTATAATGGGAGATTTCAATTACTCAGACATATACTGAGATACTTGTAGCATGCAGGACAATAAGAGGCAAGCGTTCCTTGATTGCATGCAGGAGAGCTTCCTATAGCAGTATGCTTCTTGTTCAATAAGAAAGGATGCACTGTTGGAACTGGTTCTTGGAAATCATAGAACAGAATCACAGAATCCCAACAATGCAGATACAGAACATTTGGCCCATCGATTCTGCATCAACCCTCCAAACAGCATTCCACCCAGACCCCTGCTGCCACAAGTGGGCCAAGTGCAACAAATGTCTGTTGGGAAACATTTTTGATCATTACATCCTAAGATTCAGGATGATGGCGGAGAATGACATGCAACAATCCAGAATTTAAAAAGTCAATTCGTAGAGACACGACTTCAATGGTGCATGAAAACAGCTGGGCACAAGTGACTTGAATGAGTGCTTGGCAAGAAAAACAATAACTGAATAATGAAGATAACAAGGTGTAGAGCTGGATGAACACAGCAGGCCAAGCAGCATCAGAGGAGCAGGAAGGCTGACGTTTCGGGCCTAGATATTTCAGAATCTCTTCTAAAACATATATAAAAGGTGAAATATTTGGTTAACCAATTGTCAAGTGACATGAGTTTTATTTGTTTTTTTTTCCTGAAGAAGGGTCTAGGCCCGAAACGTCAGCCTTCCTGCTCCTCTGATGCTGCTTGGCCTGCTGTGTTCATCCAGCTCTACACCTCGTTATCTCAAATTCTCCAGCATCTGCAGTTCCTACTATAACTGAATAATGGGCTGCCTTCAAAAGATGAGATAGTCCAGGTGCAGTCAAGGTATATTCCCTCAAATGGAAATGGGAGAACAAACAAATCCAGAGCTCCCTGCAAGACAAACAAGATAGAAATTAAGATGAGAATAAGTGTGCTTATGACATGATTAAGGTAGAAAATAAAATTAAGAACCAACACGAATATCAAAGGTTCAGAGGGAGGTGAAAAGCAAATAAGAGAAGCAAAATGAATTCTGAGAAAAGACTTGTAGCTAACATAAAGAAGTGTCTCAAAGTCCTCTAAAGCCAAATAAATATGAAAGGAGTGACAAGAGGAGTAGAATTAATTAGGACCCAAAAACCAGATTTACAAACCAAAGCAGGGGGCATGGTTGAGGTGTTTACATGTTTACACTTGTCTTTACCAAAGAGAAAGAAAGAGAGAGAGAGATACTACCAAAGTCATGGCGCCAGAAGAGGGAAATCAGACACTAGAAGGACTCAAAATTGATTGGGCAGAAGTGTTGGATAGACTGCTAGAACTTGAATTTGACAAGGCACCAGAACTGGATGTCATGCATCCAAGGAGTTTGAAGAAATACAGAGTGTTAATTGCAGGGGCACTGGCCACAATCTTTTTTTCAATAGACCTGGGGCAGGTGCCAGAAGAATGGAAAATTGCAAATGTTAAAGCCTTGATCAATAAATGTTCAAGGATAAGCCCAACAATTACAGACCTGTCAATTTAACTTTAGTGGTGAGGAAGTTTCTACAGATATTTATTAGATACGATTAGTAGTTATATGGAAAAAAAGAGAATTGATTAGGAGGAATCAGCCTGGAATTCTGAAGGAGGAAAACATGTTTAACTAACTTGATGGAGTTTTATGGAGATATAGCAGAAAGGTTTGATGAAGGCTATTGATGTGGTGCACATGGATTTTCAGAAGACACACTACAGACTTGAGAGGAAACAACAGACTTAGAGCAGCACAGTGGCACAGTGGTTAGCACTGCTGCCTTATAGCACCAGGGACCCGGGTTTGATTCCAGCCTCGGGTGACTGTCTGTGTGGAGTTTGCACATTCTCCCTATATCTGCATCGGTTTCCTCCAGGTGCTCTGGTTTCATCCCGCAGTCCAATTATGAGCAGGTTAGGTTGACTGGCCATGCTAAATTGCCCATCGTGTCAAGGGTGGGAAATGTAGGAATAGGGTAGGGGGTGGGTCTGAGTGGGATGCTCTTCGGAGGGTCGGTGTAACTCGATAGGCCAAATGGCCTGCTTCCACACTGTAGGGATTCTATGATTCTCTGAAAGTTATACGTCATCTAATACAAAGGTCAGTTGCAACATTAGCTGTGTGATAGGAAAGACACTAATAATGGTCAATGAATATTCTTTGAGCTAGAGAAGGCTTGTAACGAACTTCCCAGGAATTGCTAATAGGACCCTTGCTTTTCCATTTTAAGATCTAGATCTTGGAGTGCAGAGGGCAGTTTCAAAGTTTGTAAATGACAGTTGGGGGAACTATATATGTGAGGACAACAGTGTAGAACTCTAGAAGAGCACAGACAAGTTCGTGGAGTGGGCAGATAGATGCTAGGTAAGTTTCAATGCTGTAAAACGTGAGTTGATGGATTTTGGTAGGAAGGACATTGGAAGACAATATAAAGTAGGAGGTAGAATTCAAAGGGAAGGGATACAGGAATAGAGGGACCTAGGTGTACAGATCATTGAAAGTGGAAGGACAGGTAGAGAAAGCAATACAGTATTTTCAGCTTTATTAAAAGGGACAGATAGTACAGGAGCAAGGAGGTGATGCTGAACACATATAAGATGTTTGTAAGACCTCAGCTGGAATATTGTATACAGTTCTGGTAAGGATACAATAGCATTGGAGAGAGAATAGAAGCAGTTTACAAGAATGTTTTCGGGGCTAAGGAAATTCACTTGTGAGGACAGACTGAAGAAGTTCGGCCTATTCTCCTTCAAGAGAAGAAGGCTAAGAGGACATCTGATGGAGATTTTCTCAATTCATGAATAGGCTGTATACAGTAAATTAAACTGCACCCACTTGGAAAAGAGCAAAGGACAAGAGGGCAGAGATTTCAAGTGATCTGCAGAAGAACAAGTGTGAAGTAAACACTGCCTGGAATGGCTGTGGATATGTCATCGCGCTCTTTTCTCTCCCACCGTCACACATCCTTCATCTTGTCAAGAAAAAGCTTTGGTCTGGCAATGGTCTCCAGGATACTTTTCAACCACAACCAACTGAAATCCAAGATAACAATACTGACATTTTCACTGTACATTGAGGTTCCACAAGCAATGTTACTGCTGCTCTCTCGGAAGAAAATCTTCAAATTTTGCTTAAGATTTTTGTAGATGCATACCAAAGCAATGGCCTCAGCATCAATCCCAAGAAGACTCAAGTCCTCCACCAACACATCCTCGGCAAGTTCCAGTCGATCGCTCCTTTAAGACCAACAGAGAAATCCTCTAAAATGTAGAACATTCCCTCTACCTGGGAATGTACCTCTCATCTAAGGCTGCCATCAATGCAGAGACCCAAAACTGCATCTAATCTGAGAGTGCTGCTTTCAGACACCTAAAATGGGAATCTTTGACATCTGTGACATCCGTACTGCTACCAAGAGCCTTGTTTATAAGGCAGTCATCCTTCCAATTATTCTACACAGCTCCGAAACTCGGACTACGTATAGAAGCCACCTCAAGGTCCTGAAGTACCACCAACGCTATTTGAGACGGATTCTCCACATCAGCTGCAAGAACAGGTATACTAATGTCAGTGACTTCAAAGGAGCCAATAGCATCAGCATCAAGACCATAATCTCCAAAATCAACACCGCTTGGCCTGCCACATGCTTAGAATGTCCAAGTTCTAACTGCCAAAGCAAATCATTTCCCACCTCAAGGATGGCTCTCAAATGAGAGGAGGGCCAATGATTCCCTGAAGGCTTACCTCAAGAAATACAACATAGATGCCAACACCTTGAAGAGCCCTCGCTCAGAAGAACCTGACTTGGCAGTACCACCTGCATGAAGGGACACAATTCTTTGAGAACACTCATTAGCAAGAGCAAGTACGAAGAAGGAATAAAAAAAGGAATGCCAGCAATCTCAAGGCTGAGGACCAATTCGACCTCCTGGAAACACCTGTCAAATGTGTGGTTGTAGGATCAGGCTCATTAGCAATGCAAGGACCCACAGAACCCATGATCAGTGACGCACAACTTCCTAGGTGGACAATCATACTGGTTAGTGAGCAATTGCCAATGTGACATACCTCATAACCTCATAATACTTTACACGTTTAACCTCATAATAATTACATATTTCCACTTGCACTCTCTAAACTTTTACTCTTACATACATATAAAGATAAACTCAGTTATTTGCCAATGTCATTATATAAATTAACTTAACATTTATACTTAAACTGTACATACTTGCACAGGAGAACCAGGAGAATATCTTTTGTCTATTTTTCCAATGTCGTAGCTCTGACTGATAATGGAAAAACATTACAACATTAGCAATAGTATAAGTTAAACCTTATTTATGCTGTAGAGTTGAGGTACTTCTTCCAATCCCCTGTGTCATCTAGTCACCAAGTTCACACATATAAGAAACATTAACAGTGCTAAGGTTCAACACATCAATAATGGACAAACACTAGGATGTGAAAACTTGACTCACTTGCCGCTGGAGATGATAGTATGAAATCTTAGTGTCAGTTTGCTGGGACATACTCAGCAGCTAGCCACTTCCTGCGCACAAGAAGATCACTCAGTTGGGAAGTCCCTACATGTCTGGAACCAATTACTTAGAGTTATCTCAGATTCAAACAACATTGCAATCGGATGTGATACTCACCTGTCACATTTGGACCACATCAGTAAATTGGACAATTGTGAAGGCTATCTACAAAGATCATGCATTCAGCTGCAAAATGATCCCTGAACATGTGTTTGTTAAAGGACTATTCAACAAACTGTAGGTAAGGTGAATTAAGTTTACATTTGCTCAGGGCAAGTCTGTGGAAGCATTGAGCTTTGAGTTTTTTGGCAGTTGTGTATAGTTCAGGGAGAAGACTTATATGCAGGCAGGTGGTTAAGTTGCTGCAGTGCCTCTTGGTCTGGTTCTAAAAACATGCAGCAGAAGGAAAGCTTTGTGAAGAGTGTGGGAAGAAGGGGAGAAGTGCACTACATACAAAGCCCAACCTCCGAGGATTTCCATGGAGTAGTTCTCCTACGTTTCCTAATGCCAGAACAATGACAAGTGTTCAGCACGACAGTGGTCACTAAACTGAGCTAAGTCCTGAAATCTAGCTTGTAGTCTCATATCAGGGCAAGAATAGCCCTTGCCATTGGTCCAAAAATTCACCCACCTTCTCAACACCACCCCTAGCTACATCTCCCCCTTTCATCTCTTACATTTCTCCAAATAAGGTAGCAATCAAAAACCTGGAAATAATGGGGGCCATATAGGTCAACCAACATGCTTCATCATCTTTTAGGAGGGAAGAACTGGATGAAAAGACATATTACTTTACACGGATAGTAAGATTCATGAAGATACAGTGTGTCAGTGACAGTGTGACTTGCCACTGGAGAGCTTCTTTAAATATATAAAAAGGAAGAGAGAGAGGTCAAACTGAATACTTGACCCTTAGAAAGTGGATCTGGGGAGATGATTTTGGGAACAAAGAAATGGCAGAGGACTTGAACAGATACTTTGCATCAATCTTTATGGTGGAAGATTCTTTGATCATCCAATTAATACTCAAAGATATGGGGTAGGAATTAAGTATAATCACTACAGAAGCAGTATTAAACAAACAAATGGGGCAAAAAGCAGATAAGTCTGTCCCAGGATCCTGAAAGAGGGAGCTACAGATATAATTGATGCATTGGTTGCAATTTTCCAAAAAATCATTGGATTCTGGACAAATACTAGAAGATTGGAAAATTGCTCATTTTTCCCTATTCAAAAAGGTAGGGAGGCATGAAACAAGTAGCTACAGGCCAACTGGCTTAACATCTATCATTGGAAAAGTAACAAATTAATTATTAAGGAAGTAATAGTGGCAAATTTGGAAAATCATAATCCAATCAAGCAGAGTCAGCATGGCTTCATGAAAGGGAAATGGTGTCTGATTAATTTATTAGAGTTTTACGAAGAAGCCTCAACCAAAGTAGATAGAGAGGAACCAGTAGAAGGGTTGTATTTGGACTTACTGCAGTATTCGGCAAGATACCTCACAAAATTTAAGTCATGGTAAGAGTCCACAGTGTTGACATAGCATAACAGCATGAATTGAGAACTGGTTAATGGGCAGAAAACATTGACTGGGCAAAAGGGGATCTTTTTCAGGTTGGCAACCTGTGACTGGTTGGGTTCCACAGGGAACAGTGCTGGGACCACGACTGTTTATAATATGTTAGTGACTCGGAAAATGGAAGTAAATGTACTGCAGCCAAATTTACAGATGACAAAAACAGATGAAAAGGCAGGTTGCAAAAGGGATACAAACACTTTACAGAGAAATATTGATAGGTTAAATGGACAATAAGTTGGCAAATGGAGTATAATGTGGAATAATGTGAAGTTGACCACTTTGGAAAGGAGAACAGAAGAACACAGTATTACTTAAATGGAGAAAAATCGCAGAGCTGCACCACAAAGGACTTGGGGGTAAATGTGCACAAAACACAGAAAGCTAGCACACAGTGCAACAGATATTCAGGAAAGCCAATAGAATATTGGCCCTTATTTCAAGGGGGGTTGGAGTATAAGGCTAGGGAAGTCTTATTGCAACAGTACAAGATCCTGGGGAGACCATATCTTGAGTACTATGGGCATTTTTCATCCCTTTATTTAAGAAAAGAATTCATTTCATTGGAGGCAGATCGGAGAAGGTTCACTAAGATGATCCCTGGTATAGAGGGATTGTCTTATGAGCAAAGGGTAATAAGGTTGAGATTCTACTCACTGGAGTTCAGGTGACCTCATTTGAAACATATAGAATTCTTAAGGGCTTTACAGGGTAAATGCTGAGAGGATGCTTCTCCTTATGGGAGAGTCTAAAACCAGACAGGATACTGCCAGAATAAACAGGCATCAATTTAAGACTGAGATAAGGAGGTATTTCTTCTCTCAGAGGTTTGTGAATCTTGGAAACTCCATGCCACAGAGAGCTGTGGGGGTACAGCATGTGTGTATATTTAAGGCTGACAGAAATATAGATTTTTGATCAAAAGAGGAATCAAGAGTTACAGGGAAAATACAAGAAAGCGGACACAAGGAATGTCAGATCAGCCATAATCCTATTGAATGATGGAGCAGTCTCGAGGGGCCAAACAGCCTACTCCTGTTCCTATTTCTTATGGTACTCCTACCCACATACTGTTAATATAAGGCATTACATACCTCACATTTTTTGGAATATAAACAGAAATGAAAGTTCGATTGCTATAACTGAACTAGCAGGAGAGTTTTGCAATGAGAAAAAAGTCAAGTGTTGCATGTGTTGTTGAGTTGTGCAATACAATTTTGTATTTTGGAAGCAGTAAGAGTGAGAATAAAAGATTGAGCAGTGCTTCAAATGTTTCAAGTTAAGGAAATTCTGCCTGACAACAGCGTTCTGATTAGCTGGGCTGCAGAGTATTAAAACACTGTAAGTGCTAAGAGCAGCAGAGTGGAAGAAATATCAAACATGCAGACAGAAAGCAACGATCCTGCCCTCTCTTCCGTAAAAAAGTTTAAAAGAAAGAAAGTAAGTTTAAAAGTAAAAGAAAGAATCCATTCAAGTAAAGATACAAGTTCAAATTATCAATCTTCAAAGAAGCACCATCAGAAGAACTTCTGAGGAAGGGTCGCCGGACCTGAAATGTTAATTCTGTTTTTTCCTTCACAGATGCTGCCAGACCTGCTGAGCTTTTCCAGTAACTTTGTTTATGTTCCTGATTTACAGCATCTGCAGTTCTTTCAGTTTTTATTTACAATTTGTGTTCTGGACTTTAGATCATCGGAATTTGTTAATCCTATTTTTATATCCCCCACAGTAACGCATTAAGCCATTCGTCTTTTAAATGTCTTAATTGTGTGAGTGAGCATATATTTAGGGCTTTAAAGGGATATAGTTCAAATTGCACAGGTGATGTTTTGCAATCCTACTGGTCCACTGGGATGAGATATGACTCCTCAATCAACGGGATCTATAGCAATAATGGCAACAATTTGAGTCTGGATAGCATAAAGATGGCCCTCCATGGCAGCAAGCACAGATTTCATGATCTTGGGTGGTTTCTACCTGAGCTGCAACAGAATCTAAGACTCTGGCATGAACTGGTGTTACATTATGGTTGGATCTACTACTTTTATGGTGGAACAAATGGGCTCTGAGCTCTGCAGTATGTTAGCCGGCATTCAGCACTTTAGCAGTGATGCGAGGCTCTGTTGCAGGCATGGCAGCAACAAGCATCAATGATGCTCACTATCATTCTCCTTTATGCTACCCATCAAAATCCTCATCAGAATCTCCGGCATATACAGCCATACCCAGATATTTGGACAGTAGGCACCGGGTGAAATGGAGCACAAGACAGCAAGAAAGGTTAGATCTAGCTCAGGTACAGGGAACAAGTAGTTGAATATGAAGATTGTATTAATCTATAGTTGGTGAGAACCTTGATTTCTAGGCTTCAGCAGAAAATGCTGTTGCAGTCATTTCTATATTGTTACAGGCTTTAATTATATAACATGCAAGATTTTACAGTTTGCATTGTCTCACTTCTCAATATATGGAATGTAGAATCCCACTTGAATGATTGAATTTTATAACAGCATTATAAGTAAATTGCATTTTATCATGGCACTTCTATAAGAAACTGTGATTGAGAATTTCCTTGGCACTTCTGCTCCTTCACTACTATAACTTCCGAATAGGTTTGACAGAGAACCTGCTTACATCTGTAAACAGAGTTCCTTCTGAACAGCCTGTTAAAAATGTGGCAATGAGGCAAAATCCCCAACAAATTCTTCACAGACAGCCTTACAGCAGAATTACATTTAAACACCATGTCGCAAGAGTCATTGGTCAGATTGCTTCAAAGTTATTCAAATAAACCATCTTTACCTCAACCAGAAAGCACTTTCTTCATATTTCTTCTGCTGATAGGTATCTACTCCAAAATTGTAACACAGCAGGGCCAAATAACCTGTCTAAAACATATACACGGGATCATGATGATATCAGCATAATTATATAAACAGAAAATATTTGTGAGCAGAGGAATACAGAAACATTCCAGAAGAAAACTGACAAATTCTATTTCATCACGATTCACAAGAATATGAGAAAGCTCAAAATACGAAAAAAATTAATTTGTTTCAATCTGGAATTTGTGAATTTCCCATTTTTCTCCCACCACTATAGTTGATTGAGATAATAAGGTATAGAGCTGGATGAACACAGCAGGCCAAGCAGCATCAGAGGAGCAGGAAAGCTGACGTTTCGGGTCTAGACCCTTCTTCAT